ATTTTGCTAAAATAAGTAAACTGGTACATTGAAAAATTTTTTAAAAACGTTTGTCAAATTAAGAATAACCTTGCAAAAATAACCTTAATTGTTCAGTTTATTTGTCCTATGTTTCAATTTTTGTCAACAATCTAGAAAACAAATAACACGAGAACTGTCGACAGGGAAGAATAAAGTACCAATGTGTATGAACCAATATGAAAGAATTTTACGTTGCTATCGAGAGCCGGGCTTAGGAATTGATGTACAGCATTATGATGAAAGCTCATCGACCAGAATGCAGGAACACGTTGTTGCCATGTGCAATAAGCAGGTATCTAAAGTTAATTGTATTTGTAGCGATAAATTATTTCTAGTTGATTCTTCCTATCCTTTCAAAACAATACCATTATTCCTGTCTATTTTAGGCCTTTGTCGTCTATACGCGTATAAATGGAATCTTGTTGACTCAACCAGAAATTGAATTTCAACTTCAAGATGCAGTTCGACGTAGTCAGAATCGTGCTGCCGAATCAGTGATACCAATTTCGGGCGGAAGTGTTGGTAATCGAGACGATGCTGCTAAATTTTGGTCATTAATGAAAGAAGGTAACTAAACTTTTACTTCATATTAGCATTACTTATAAAAACCCTTGACAGTTGGCAGCAGTGTTTAGCTTCCTGAAACATCAGAGGCGATTCTCAAAGTATTATATTTTGCCATTAAAAATTTCAGCTATAGCCAGCACCAAAAGTCGCATAATATTGAAATTAGTCGATCAAATCTTATGAAAATTCCTCAAAAAAAATCATTTTAAGAACTTAAAGTAATAAAACAGTAAAGTCAAAAAAATTCTTAATAATTACTCTCAGTGAGTAAAATGGATTAGAAGTCTTAAAGTGTAGAAATGCGGTAGTATAAGAGATATATATTAACATTGTCCTCTATACTCCAGAACATACAGATTTGATATTGTTTTGACCGGCTTTATTAGCAGCGTGAAAATAGAAGAATCCTGTTGCGAGAGATGCTTTAGAATCAGTTTGCAGTGAAACATGCAAAATGCATCTTTATTTAGAGAGATTATCGATGTTTTCTATAAATGAGCGTTTTAACCAAAAAAGCTCACTTTAGTAGAACGAAATCGTAGTTCTCTCGACTGGGTAAAATCGGCTGCCTTTATCGTTTGTTTGGATGTCTTACAGAACAACGTACGCTGGCCGAGTGATCATGAAGAATACCTGACTTTGGCTGGGTTGCATCTGCTAACTGGTTTAGGCAGCTCTGTTTCTGGTCTTAATCGCTGGTATGATTCTGCAATTCAGGTACTGTTTTAAAGTGCTTGTTCTTGTTGCACTTTAGAAAGAGACGAGATTGATAGAAGCCAATTGTAGATTGTGGTAGCAAGCAACGGAATAAATGGGTTATGTATTGAACATTCAGTTGCTGAAGGAATCGTTATCATCAACATGTCCGAATACGTTCTTGATTACGTTCAAAAAAACCGTTTTAACTACAATGTTTCGGTAGGCCATATTGTTAATACAGACTACAACTACTCAAAAGAACGTATTCTAAGCATTTTAAAAAAAGCTTGGAAAACTGAAGTGAAAAAAACCTTCTAGTGTAAAAGAAAAAAGTTGAGGCTATAATAAAGAAAAAATGAAAAAAAAATGCTTTGAGGATGATGCCTACCAAAATAATCGAGATTGCTTTTTAGACTACCAAACTTAGTTTCCTACTGACATATGCAAAAAACTGTTGCCTCACAATTTGGCATTATTTTGCGTCACTTATCCGTCGAATGTTCCTAAGCATTTTTGGCTATTCACCAATTTTTGTGGTAAATTGACATTGTTTCTATTGATTGTAGTGTGGTTGCATCTTTTTTAGATAAAGCCAGTAAACTGTTTCTGTGTAGCATAAAAGTAAACATTTAGTTACTCTGAAATGTTAGCAGTTTTTGGATTGTGTCTTTGTAATAATATCGTTTCTGACCACAAAGATTTGAGCGCTGTAGACTAGGAAACTTCTGCTCAAATAAGTGACGATTTCTTAGGAACCGTGGAAGAAAAAGAACGTGAAGCCAAAGATTTTGTCCTGGTCGGTTGGCGCTAGCGAGCGCCAACTGATGGACAAGGAAATCCGAGAATTTGATATGTGAGTTTCAAGTTCGAAAGTTAATCTTTGATGAGAAGCTTACTCATCAAAAATGCTTTTTTAGTTTGGTGAACGACTTAGAACTGTGCATCCTGGAATTTAAAGATTTTGGCAAGGAATTTATCAAATCTAAAAAGTATAGTCCAGACGGTTTCGTGCAACTGGCCATGCAGCTCGCTCATTACCGGTAACAGAAAGACGATATTTTGAGTGTTTATTAGAAATTATATTGGATTGACATTGCACTTAGGCAGTGAAAGTAAAGCCTATAAAACTGGGGAATTCAATAAAAACTACGGTCTAAAATTATTACCGCTGCTTATTATAAAGATATCGCGCTACAGTAACTTCATTGTTGCTATTGGGTTTTTAGATAACACTAATATTCAAAAGAAACGCGAACTGCCAAAACGCCTTTTCACAAGTAATACTCACTGATTCTAAAGGAAGTTAATGAGTGCACGTTAAAGCGACTACTGTTTTTAAATGCCTACAATTTGCGCTAAAGAAAATGTTTCTTTTCAAAGCATTTTTTTTAAAGAAAGCCGCGTTTCAAAGCTTTGGTAACAATGAGTATTTCTGACTACATCCCCATTGAAGGTTACACAACAAGCTGGTATCTACATACGAAAGCGCATCGATTCGACGATTTCGCAATGGACGAGTGGACAATATTCGGGCTGCAACTCCAGAAGCTTTGCTGTGGGTTAGGTCGATGATGCAAAGTTCTTCTTCGGTTCGTAAAGCCATTTGAAAGTTTACTGAAAATTTTTTCACTTTTGCTGCATTTTAGAAGGGCAATATAACGCCATTGCATATTCCAGGCTGCAGATTTTGCATTGAAGCGAAAGTTGTTCAATAATGCTATGGCAAAGCAAGTGGAAATTACAGTAGAGGTAAGTGGCTTTAATCAAACTGCGAAAATGCAAACCGTTCGTTAGCAAAAAGGGCTGTTAAAGAAGAATAAATTTCAAATTTTGTGCAACTTAAGCAGTTACGATAAATGTATCATTAGAAACAAAAGTTGCTTTGTTTTGAAGATAGTCATCTACTTTCACAGTTGAACTAATCTTTACAGAACATATCTGGCCACGGTATTGACAATCACCTTTGTGCTTTGGAAGTGTTAGCCAGAAAGGAATATAATTTCGGTGATCAAACATATATGCCTGAACTTTTTAAAACTCCACTTTGGGCCGAGCTTATGCGTTTTCCGCTGACTACTAGCCAGGTCTCTTTTTTTTTTTTTTTTGTTGAAATGTTGATATCAAATGGAAAAAAACACTGAACGCATTTGACTTTTTATTTGAAAAACTAATACGAAAAAAGGTTTTTAGTATTGGGTATCTACTTCAAAAATAATTTTAAAAAAATTTATTAATTGTCAAAACTTCTCAAAAATTGAGTACATTGAATCGGAGATGCAGAAGCAGAGGATAATAGACGATGGCTTGCTTGGCAAAGGATACTCGGAATACTAAGCTAAATCAAGGTTTTCTCTGTTCAGATCTCCTAATCGGCAAAGACTGCAGAATGCACGGAGAAAGTTAAAACTTTGGTTCAGCAGTCAATGAGTTGATTTGAAAGAGCTGGTCGACTAGAGTGATTTCGTTAGTCTATACCGTAGTTGCAAAAAGGGTGTGATTCAAATTTCTATAACTTAAAAGTGAAATAAAGACCAGCTTAAAAAGCGTTTGGTCTTTTTTTTTATTTATAGAAAAATTTTTCGTACAGTTGTGGTGGTCTTCTATATAGTCATTTCTACAGCTGCCATGTTGAGGCAAAACGTTTACGAACATCTTATTATGGACTTCCCATTCTTTAAACATAATTACTAATTCACTCACTACATCTTAATTCTTTTAACCATTAATGATGGTATTTTTTTACAGTGTAAAATCACTGCATTTGCTGCTCTAAAATTCTGAATTTGCATTGTGTTTCCATAGAATCTGGAAACGGCAGAAAATGGGCAAAGACGAATTTTTTCGGAGTACCATTTCTAATTGTAGTTCAATGTTTGCTGAGAAATTCAAGTTTTTTGTGATGAACTGACGGGGATATAGATGAAATTGTAGATAAAAAGGAAAACTCCTAAAAAACTTATTTTTTTTCAAGAAAATATTCAGGAAGTTAACATTAAAAGTCAACAAGATGGTTGATCAATTTTTATTGCGTAAATTGTCATATAAAATTTTCGATTGTTGTAGGGTTTGGAAATATCGTAAAGATATATTTATTTTTCTCATTCATCTTTTCTGTTCATGTTTCCAGCAAAATACACTGTTTACTTTTACTGAGGTTCTTATTCCGCTTATAAAGGTGTTAACGCCTAAAAATTACGCATTTCTTTCTAGAGCAGTAAAAAATTACAATACAGAAAAAAATATTTTGTATTTTAGTTTTTAAAATAAGTGTAAAATTCTTGTCAGTTGAACCGTGATCTTGCAGTATACAGTGGAAAATGATAAGAACTTTCTAAGTTGAAAAATTTTCAATTTACCTGTTACTCGTTCAAATAACTGTGCACATTTGTCATTTTCAAAGCATAAGTTTTATTAAACTGCACGAACTTTCCAAACTTTCACTTTGAAGTTCTTTCGTATAATGCATTTATAACACGTTTTTAATTCATTTATTTACTCAATTGTCTTCACCTTAAAAATATTTTTGTAGTTTACTTGAAAATAATCAGTACGAGCAATTCAAACAAAGCAATTTAAGTTAATTAATTACTTGCTGGAGTGATGAAGTTAGCAGTGGGCATTTTTATTGACTGCTTTTTGCAGATCAAACCTTGTATGATAAGTGCGCAAAAAGCAGTGAAATTTTTAGTGCTTTCAAAAGCGTACTGAGCAGTATCGACTATTTTCAGGTTACAACCAGTCCAAGGTTTCCGGGATCATATTTATGCTATGGTCCTGTAGTTCGTGACGGTTACGGATGCTCCTACAATATTCAAGCTGATTCGATCATTTTCGCAGCTTCAGCTTGCAAAACTTGCCCGACAACTGACGCAAAAAGGTTTAAAGAAGCAGTAGCGCAGTCACTGAAGGACATTGAACATCTGATAAGTGCTGACAACAATACTTAAAGTTTATTTTGATAACAGTATGTTACAGCTGCTTTTTGCATCTCTATTTATAAGCTGTAGATCTCTGTAGTTGTTTTTATATAGTACCGTGATAAGCTTAACAGGCAAAAGCCGATAAAAAAGAGTGAAAGTAGTTGAAATAGTAGGACAATGTCGTCGGAACCTAGGTGGCTACGTTAATTTGAAAAAATTATTAGTTTTTTAGTTTGTTAGAATTTATTTTTGTAAATTTTATAAATTAATAATTAACCACATTAGACAATAGGGAGTTACTGGGTCGTTATTAATGATTGCAAACCGGATTTTACTTGTTCAATTAGGCGTAACAAGGAAGGCAACAGACGGAATATTAGAAACCGGTATTTCAAAGTGACAATTTGATTTTCCAAAGAGGAAAAGAATAACATTATGAGACATTAGAACAGAGTATCGAGTTTTAGAATCTTCTTATTTTTGACTTATATCAACCGTATCACGCTGACACATTTTGTTCGCCAGATGAGTAATATTAGTTGCACCACCAGTAGCCGTTGCTGTTCTGTTTCACAAAGATGCATTATTGCAAACGGCAGCCGTATAAACTGATAAATTTTGAGATGCCAAGTAAGAGACGATGCTTAGTTGTCACGTAATAATTATTTTTTTTTTCAATTTTTTGAAATTTCACTCTTACATTTTTTAACTCTTACTTTGACCTCATCTCTTCTATACTTAGTTCTTCTTTTATGGCTTTTCTCACAGGTTTGTCATTGATAAGGAACAGATTTTGTGTATTTTTTACTCTTTTCCACTTTCTTATATTTAAATCTTTTAATATTGTTATGCTGCCCAGCAATAAAACTATTTCGCAGTCAATTTAAAGCAATAATTGTTAAATTCACTTTTGTTCTTGCAGACTTCTGTGTTGTTGAAATTCACTCATCTTACTTATGTTCAATTGCTGGTTTGTTTTTGCACTTTTTTTGTGAACAGATATAATAGAATCTCAATAACTGTGAGGTAATTTGCTTGTTTTTCCTTACCCATTTTCAGACGAGCATTACCAACTGCACTGAAGTGGCAAATTCATTTTGCTTCCCACTTTTGTTTTCATAGGTTTGCTGCCTACACTGGCATTTTACTCGTTTTTTTTTCTTTTTTTGTTTTTAAACCTTGAAAGAATTATTTTTTGATGCTTTTCTCTGACCTAACGCTATTCTCTGTCTCAAAATAGCAACTAATTAGTCATTCTTTGAAGCCTTTTTGAAGGTGTGTTTTATGACGTCTGCTGGCGAAAGCTGTTTTCTAAGGTCACTAAAATCTGTAACTGACATATGATGCTACAGGAAGTCTTATTTGCGTTTACAGTTCGTGTTTATTCCAACACTAAATTTATTGCTGTAGTAGGACAAAACTTATTCAATAGCTGTTTTTTGCTTCAAAAAATTTATTCAAAAATTTGTTGCTTTCAATACTTTTAGTATTTTAGTGATTAATAAAGGGTTTTTTCCGCGTTTTAAAAACTAGAATGCAGAAAAAAATTGCGTTTTTCGAATAACACATCTGTGTTATCTCCTCAATCTGGTAAGTAGAACCTGTTGGGTGCTGATTGTCTAATTATATTTCCAGTTAGTATATCTACTTTCAGGCCGATTATCGGATCATCTACTGACAGTTCAAAAAAATCTTTAATATCTATGGCAGCGTGTTGTAGTCGTTAAATAAAGTTTACCATTGTAGATTATTTCTTTAGGCTGCCTAGATCAAATGCTTTTCTAGTTTGTAAGCCGTATGACTGGTATCAGCAAGTGCATCTAAATTTTCAAGGGAAACAGCTTAAAATCTCTGAAATGACTAAATGTAAAAGTTAGTTTTTCTTTGTAAATATTTTATCTTATTGATTGTACTCATACATTTAAGTTTGTAGAAGGTTGTAGAAAAATTATCATTTAACCATATTTTTTATTTCATATGAATTCAAGTAAACTTATTGCAGATTCAGCAGAGGAGGAGACTAACAACAGAAGCGAAAATGGAATTACACTGAACTGGTATGAGGTACGTTCATTTACTGCACAGAATAAGCTATTTTTACGTACTTTTCCTTTAGTAAGTCTTGATTCTGGTTTTTCAGAAGCCACTTCCTAAATTGCCAGTACCTCCGTTGAAACATACTTTGGAACGCTACTTGGAGTACGCGCAAGTCTTATGTGATTCAGATTATAAGACACTTCAACGAACGAAAAATGCAATCATAAGTCTTGAAGAAAATGAGGGTAAACTTCTTCAGCGTTTGGACGAAGCAGCTGAAACAAGTGTTAATTGGGTAAGGGTATCACCAGTTATAAAGCTATATTTAACAATCAAGAAACAAACAGAGTAGCTGAGGGTGTTTGGGACGTTAACAGAAGGCTTTTTACAGGTATTTTCGACCTAACTATTACAGAAAAAAAAGCTTTTATAGACAATATTTTTTATTTTTGTTATGGTAATTTAAATTCCAGGCAAAAAAGTTTTGGTTACCAGCTTTTTATCTGAAGGATCGGAGTCCGTTACCGATAAATGCAAGTCCAGCTTACGTCTTTCCATACCGCAACTTAAGAAAAACCAATGATTTTTTTAGGTTTACAATAAATAACAATTATTGCAAGAAAATTAAAAGTCAGTAAATAACGCGGCTTTTTAGTGCCGCTACTTCTTTTATTTCTTAATACATATTTATTTGTGAGCGTAGCGGTTTTATAGATATTCTGCAGTTTTTCCTTCCTCAAAATTGCGTCAGACATTAATTGAAACCTGACAACTGTTTAAATTGAAAGAGCAAATTAAAAGAAGTTTTAATTTAAAGAACTCCACAGTTTGGTAGCACAGCCAGAAGTTTAGTTTCGGTGGAACTGTCAGCTATCACCTCTTCTTCCAGTTCTAAACTGTTACTGATTCATTTGTAGAAACTTAAATTTTCAGACAAACTTGTATCTATTAAGACTTTTATAGATTTTACATTGCGCGTTCGACAAGAATTCCTAGTTACAGGAAAATGTCATTACGTATTTTTAAAGTATAGCGTATTTCAGTTATGCTTCGTGGCTGATATGTGGAATCTGCGAATACAAGACAAGAATTGAGAGGTTTGAAAAAATTAAACTGCAAAGATTTTTTGTTTTTTATTGCAATACTTTTGATTGCCTCACTGAATTCAGGAAAGAGATCGCCAGAGATACTTCAAGACGAGGTAATCAGATGTGTATGGATCAATACGATAAGATGTTCCGGTGTTACCGGGAACCAAGAATCGCCGAAGACTTGCAACATCAGAAACCGCTCCATGCAGAAACTGCAGATCAGCATATCCTTGTAATGTGTAGAAATCAGGTTCTCTCTTAACATTTTAAGGTTTTTCAGCAGATGTAGAAAATAATACGCAAGCAGATATGGACAACATAGTTTAGTGCAATGAACAGTGGGTTTTATGTGAAGCCACTTTTTCAATGCTTTTCTTCATTGGTTGGTCGTATATCGCTAAAATTTCTAAAAATTAAATAAATTTTAGTTGATATTCAGCAATATTTGGTGATTTCATATTTAGGCTTTTATTCTTTTTACTCACCGCAATGGCCAACCGCTTAAGTATGCAAAAATCAAAAGTCAGCTTGAAGCCATAGAAGGCCTAAGTCGTGTGCAACGCAGCAGCGCTAAAGAACTTATTGGCGCTGGCAGCGCCGGTTATCGGAACGACGCGGCTAAATTCTGGGAACGTCTGAGATGCAGTTGGTTTAATTTTAAATTTTACTACAGTATCGGTAGCAAAGTTTCTGAAACAAACAATTTGTACTTTTTTTCACAGGCTTTAAAATAACTACTAAAATTAATAGTACCTTGAACTACTACAAATTTAGAACAGTTTTTTAAAAGTTTCATTCACTTATTGCTTTGATTTAAAATTAAAATTTTCTTTTCGCTCTATAACCATGTCGCTTTCTACCTTTTTCTGATCATTATTGCCTAATTCTAAACGTCACCTCAACTTTATCACATTAGAAAAGCTATTTTAAAAACACGATTATTACTGGAAATTTTAAAAATCTGGAAGACATTTCTGGGAAAAATATGCTAGTAGCGCATATTTAACCGTCCTCCCATATCACTGCAACTTTCAAAATTGATCAGAAGTCTCAGATCTTTAAACTGTTAGCTAAAGCTCTAAGTTCCGCCTCTTCTTCATAGGGCTCAGAGGCCTCTGTTGCTTTTCTGACCTGATTGTCAGAAAGGCAATACCGTCTGTTTTGGAAATCACTGATTTAGATCCGCATAACGAGAAGAATTTTTTGTTGGCAAAGGATGCAAACTTTGTCGTTTGTTTGGACATTGAAGAGGTCAAACAAGTGCAAAGAGATGAACCACGTTCACCAGCCGAACGAGGAAAACATTTGCTACATGGTTTTGGAAGCAAAAATTTTGGAGTCAATAGATGGTATGACGCCACATTACAGGTACTATTCTAGAACTGGCTGTCTAACACTTTTCTACAACGCATATCTCAGACTAATAGAGGATGACTTAAACAATGCACAAAAATTGTCGGACTAGAAACGAGCAAAATTTTTACACTGTGCTATAGTATTCGGCTTCAACTCTTACAATCGTCAAACACTGCAGTGGTCTCTGATTAGGTAATCATATGCACAAATGGAACTAGTGGATTATGTATCGAACATTCAGTAGTCGAAGGAATTGTTTTATTCAGAATGGCGGATGCAGCCTTGAAGTACGTCGAGAACAACATTAACAGTAATCCAGTCAGTTAATTCTATCAAAATCATGCATTACTATAGTGCTGTTTTTAATCTCTACTTATCAGAGGAATCTTAGGAGTTGAATAGTACTGAAGAAAAAGTGCTACCTCAGTTATTAAAGTGGGAATTTGATTTAGCATCGTCAGACCTTCTCAAGAAGCAGCTTCAGGACTTTGACAGGTAGAAGCTTACAATTCTGGAACAGTTGTCTCAGTAGAAAGTAACAAAATATAGAGAAGTGTAATATCTTTTAAACTATCCTCATACTTTGATTTTTGAGAAGCACTAAGTGACTAATTCGGTCTTTCAGACTTGCTGATGATCTCGAATTGTACGTGGTATTTTTCGAAGATTTTGGCAAGAATCATATAAAATCCATGAAAACAAGCCCAGATGGATTCGTTCAGTTAGCAATGCAACTCGCCGCCTACAGGTTTATATTCGCTAATGGAGAATTTCATTCTTTATGCTTCAAATCTTGTCGCATATCACCAGCGGCGGTCATCGAGTGGCAGAAAACTAATAAAAGCAAAAGCAGAAGAACCAGTTTCAAATTTGGGAATGTGAATTACTTATGTATTTAGATGGTTTGGCAAACTTGTGTCTACTTATGAGAGTGCATCACTGCGGGAATTCGCAGAAGGGCGAGTTGATAACATTCGGGCAGCAACTCCAGAAGCCCTAAAATGGGTTCAAGCAATGAATGATCGTTTTGTTTTAAAAGTTCGAGGCTTTCTGTTTTCAAGCTGCACTCTTCATTTTTAGATATACACTCTGTATGAGGCTTAATTATTTTTTGAAATGCACTCATAAGTACCGGTGTCTCAACCAATATTCTCAAAACTTTTGAAAACGTGTTTACTTACAGGACAGAAGAAAAGCTTTATTTTACGAAGCCGCTAAGAAACAGGCTTTAATTACTTTTGAGGTTTTTCTTTCAGCTTGTTTTTTGACTTTAAATAAAAACAAAATAACTGTCAAAGAGAAGGTGTTTTTTAGCTTTACTTTTTTTGTTTTCTTTTTATTTAGAATGTTGACGGCATGGGCATCGACAATCATGTCATTGCACTTTACGAGTTGTCAAAACTTAGCGTAGCTATGTCGGAGAGAGGTCAGCTTCCGGAATTTTTTACCGATTCGATGTGGACAAAACTTATGAATTTTCCTTTGTCAACAAGCCAGGTTACTGAAAGATACTCAGATTTTTCAAGCATAGTACAAGATCATTCTTCTCTGCTTTTCTTTAGATTTACCCAGCTTAATCAAACAACTTTTAGGCTACTCAGAGCACTCTTTTTTCGGATAGGTATAACTTTTACGGACCAATGAATGAGGACGGATACGGTGTACCCTACAATATCCAAGAGAATTATATTATATTCACAGTTTCTGCCAGAATAAGTAGCGGCATTACCAGCGCTAAAGGCTTTGGAGAGAATATCCGAATGTCGATGCTGGAAATAAGGGACTTAATAGCATAGAGTCTTGTGTCATAATAATTTTTGTAAAATGCTTTTTTGAAACATATAAACAAAAAATTATATTCTATATGTATGGCCACTTGATTTGCTTTCTGAAGACCTGTATTGTGAAATACGAGGAAGCATTGTAAAAGCTTCAATAACGTTATTAAAATATATAAAGCAGTGAAGTTCAAATGCTTCAAAAGTTTCCTACGAGTACTCATTTGCGCCATAGAGTGTTAAAAAAGTACACATTTAGCTAATATAAAGTGCAGTTTGTGAAGAAATAATTGGCTGTTTTGGCTTCTTCAGGATATCACACTGCTGGACATGCTTACAAATTAGTCATTTTTTAGTTAAGAAAAAAAATCGGAAACAAAATTTCTTGTTCAGCTAATTTTCAATATGTAATATGTTGCTTGCGACAGCAGAAAATAATGATATATTTTTTTAATTTCTCAGCTTAAATTTTTTACAAAGTTGAAATTTGACAGACTGTAGGTTTTTTAGCCATGTATATAGAAAAAAAAAGTTTACTGAAACATACCAAAAAAAAATGACAGTTACCAGTTCAAAGTCATTGACCAACTGTAAGAAAATTTCGATGACTAAGTGTTTTTGAAACCTTACAGATACCTTTCACATCTGTATCGATTGCTATAGTTAGCTAATTCAATTAACAAGAGGCCGCGAGACATGGTATACAAGAATAATGGTGTAATAAACAGTTGTGCTGCTCACTAAGACAATCAATTAGATATCATGTAATAAATCATAATTTGGGGGCCTATAATAAAGGCCATAATTTCTGCAAAAAATATTACCAGTAAAAAGAATATGAAAGTTTGACTTTCAGAAGTCAAATTTTGTGACGGTTAATATTTTTTGACTAACAGTACTCAGTTCGGCAAACATTTTAAAAATATTTGCTCAAATTAATGGCACTGATCAGTGTTTGTTTGTGGTAGTGCCGCCTTGATTAGGTGTTCTGTGAGAGCTGATCGTTAATGGAACTAACACTGCAGTTTTTGGATAGTTATAGAGGCGAATGAACGGAATGATCACCAAAAAGTTCCTGTTTTTGCTGATTGAGAGCTCAAACTTCAAAGTTTTTTTCGATAAAGTTACTTTAGTTTTTCAAAAAATTTTTAAATTGCGAAAATGCAAAGAAATAAGAAGAATGAGATCAATTTATGTTGTTCTTTTTTTTATGTTTCTGTTTGTGTTTTGTAATTTCTTTGGGAAACCCCGGTTTATCGAGTTGGTGGGTACCATTTTATTTCAACAAAAATAACGACGTTGGTTCAACTGCTAATTACTGCAAAAAATTGTTGATCGTGTGAACACAGATGAAAAATTCATATGCACTTCAGTAATCATTATCGACCACATCAGCGATGATAACATAAACAGTACCGTAAAAGAACTTTTTTCTTTTTGGCAAGATCACGTTTCAAAGAGCACCGGAACCAACGGAAGTCGTCGCTATAGTTGTTTTTTTTTCGCGCATTTTGCTTTTCTTGCTGATGCTGTTTCGAACGTTACCGGTACTGACTGTATCGCCGTTGCTAATAATGGCTATTTGAGAAAGGTTTGCCGTGAAAGACAGAGGAATACTTGGCAAAAGTTGTGACATTTAAAATGTTAAAGAATTATTGTAAGACGACTAAAAAAATTTAAGTCGCAATAAACCAATGAGAGTTTATTTTTAAACGGACAAGAAACAGGAAGACAAAAGCTGTCTATATAATGAGAGAAAAAATTGTTTTTTTTATTTTTAGCAGATGACAGAAGGACAAAAATGATATTATTTTGTCTAAATAAATTACAAAAATATATCTTCATTAGTATGACGCCGAAAAGAAAAGTTTTTTATCTTTTTTTTCAAATAGATTATTGTGGTCAGAACAGTCCTATTGACACACTGTATAGATTCTTCTTCCATCAACACTTCTACTATTATGATTTCTTATTATTTGTTTCTGCCTTTTTTTTTGTAATTTTAGCCCTCTTCTTTCACTTCCAAATTTTTTCTTGCTTCTGCTTTTTGCTGTGAAGCATACTAAAGAACATTAAACTATATCTGTGCCATACGTGTTAACTGTCCACAGAGATAGTGAACAAACGATGGAAGAAACAAAAGCGAACCATGCAGGCTTACTTGAACTGTCGACAGAGCAGCTGCTAAAATCTTTTGGTGGACCAGAAGTTTTTAGAAGTTTTTAAATTACCTGGAAAGAAGAGCAAATTTTTTATTTAAAAAATCTCCTCTTGAAACCCACCTCAGTTGTACTTTTACAACTCGTCCCACAACTTTCCCATCGTTTTCTGTGTTTATTGTTCTAGTGTTTTATCATTGATAGCAACGGCAACAGCAGCAACAGAAAGAAGCAAGAAACGGGACCCGCTTACACTAAATTTAGTAAACGAGATGGAATTTAAAAATTGTAATTTTTTGTTAGTAACATTAATACAATTTGTACAATCGACGTGAGCCGCTTTTTTTCATTTCCTATTCCTTACTCCTATAAATTAGTTTTTTATTTAAGCTGAAAAAGGAAATATAAATGTGAAAAAGGTGCTAAAAATGGTCATTTTCAAATTAATTTATAACACAGCTGGTACAATTAGAATGACGTCAAGTATTAAAAGACACTACAGAAATGCGGAAAATCTTAGAACGTTTATTTTGTGTTTTTTGTTATCAAATGCAGTTATTGCAAACCCAAAAAAAGTGCAGAACAGGGCAGAAAAAATAAATTTATGGCCTGGTGTGATGTTATCTAAAAGGCGAAGATGATGAAGAAGGAGAATCAGGCATAAATGACGGTGGCCTACAACCAGCTGATAGCCTATTTTTTCTTCTTTTACGGCTGAAAAGCTGCAGCCGCTGACAGTCGATAGGATTTTTGGAATTGCTAGGGTTGTTCCTGCAGTGGTGTTTCCACAGAACTGTTCTATCAAAAAAAGCAAAAAATGATTCTTCATTGTATGCTTCTCCTTTTCTCACTGTAGTTTTCGAAAACATCCATACCACACAAACTGTTCTCATTTTTTCAATTTCGTATTTATTTCATTTTTCTTCTTATTTTAAAACAAAGTATATGAAAAGGTAATCAACTCGGATTGTTGTCAGTCACATAAAACAGAATTCAACAGGAAATATATCGTACAAAGTGTGTTCTATTTGCTACTTTATTTTTTTTCTTCCTGGACATTTTAAGAAAATTATAAATGCCAACCGGGTAGGTGGTTTTCTGAAATCAGAGACGTATTTCTGTCTGAAAGTTTTGTTTTCTTAATTTTTTTGGTAAGTTACCAGCAGTTTTTTTTTTTTTTTTTTTTTTTTTTTTTT